CCTGTTACACCAATATATGAGACAAATTCCGTCTTAAGTGCAACAATTTAATTGTAGTTCTTTCTTCTTTCCTTCCTCTACACTACATGTTTCGGCCCTAAATGGCCATCATCAGGTGTATATTGTTACGTAGCTGCTACACTGCTCGTAGTTTAAAGACTGGTGTTTTAAATTTTAAACTACGAGCAGTGTAGCAGCTACGTAAGAATATACACCTGATGTTGGCCATTTAGGGCCGAAATATGTAGTGTAGAGGAAGGAAAGAAGAAAGAACTACAATTAAATTGTTGCACTTAAGACGGAGTTTGTCTCATATATTCAAACCTCACATGCATTCTCCCTTTCTCGGTTCAATCGGAACCGTCGGGAGTCACCGGCTTCCCACCGTGGCGGCCAAGGTTCAAGCCCAGGTCAGGTCATGTGGGATTTGTGGTGAACAATGTGGCACTAGGGCAGGTTTTCTCCAAGTACTTCGGTTTCCCCTGCCACTTCTCATTCCACCGACTGTTCCACATGCATCATCTATCATCCGGGGCTGGTACATTAAGCAAATTAGTGGCCAACGTACCAAGTGGACTCAGTCTCATCCAACCTCAAGAAACTAAAAAAAAAAAAAAAAACTAAAAAAAAAATGGGCTATTACAGTGAGGAGTTCCTAGCTGGCCGTCAATCCCCTAATTGGAGGACTGCCCCGTATAGTCTCTGTTGCTGCTTATTCAAAATACGAATATGTACGCAGCTGCCTTCCACATATGATCGGCCCCATTTAACGTAGTGGTTATTTGCTATAGATATGTTGTTAATTTACCTATGTAATTATGTGGTAGTAAATAGTCACAGAATAACTAAAAATCGCGTTTCTCTTCTTAATTCCGTATATTATGTGCTGCATTGCAGTTCACGAAAAGGGTCAGGTACCATCTTTCAATGGGTGAAGCTGAGGACATTTCGGACTGGACTGGACCTAAATTTCTTTGTTGTCAGAAACTGTTCTGAAATGTGTATATTTTGCCTACGTCCTCGGAATGGTATATCTAATTCAGGCTTGAATGTCCAGCCCCAGTAGTGAAACAACAATGTTACGGCCCTATTAACGTTTTTTAGGTAGGACGACGCCATCTGTTGATATAAACACCAAACTCCCAGTACGCCATATTGAGCGAATGTTGCCCGTGAAGCTTGGGGCAACTTATTTAGTGGTTTTTTAAAAGTGTTTGAGAAAATATTTCTCACGTAGTATTATTAACTAATTTAACATAGGTAATAATCACTATTTAAACATTTGAGAACTAGAATGAGCTGCTCGGATTCGAAAAAATCGAAGAAGAGAAAGAGCAGCAAAAGTGGAAACATGGGTGACGTTCTTGGGAAAGAATGCGGGGATGGCGAGAAAGATGAAATGCCGCAGGAAACATGCAGTGAAGATGTCAGAGAAGAAGCCGACGGAGCACCTAATGTAGATGAGCAGTCTTCTCAGTCTAGTGGAGAACTGGATAGCTACGAACTGAAACGATCGGACGATGTCAAGGTGAGCCGTTTCTGCTAGGTGTTCAAGAGTAGCAGAAAGTAGGCTAGGCCTAAGTCTGCAAAGGATTTAAAAACAGAAAAAAATCTTCTTTAGGTTAACTGTCCAGGCTAATGTTAGTTCCAGTGTTCAAGTGTTGGTCCCTTGATTTATTGCAAAACGAAGAGAAAGATGAATATTTTGTAGGGGAATAAAAGTAAGGAATTGTCATTCACAGCAAAGGTTGTAGGTTCAAATTTTGAGACCTTTACTAAACGTAATATTTGTCGAAGCTGCAATAGATTAAATAAAATATCATACATTAATGTGTAATGTTAGGCATATACTGTTTTTTCAGTATCCTATGTCAGAACCAGGTCACAAGGAAGCATTAGTGTTGAGTTCATGTTAAAACAGAAGTGCATATCAGGGAAACATGCTTCTTAAGCCGAGAATAAATAAGTATGAATAATACTTACGTCAGAACATTTTATGTAACTCTGGTTTGAATTTACAAGCAGCTGTCATTTCTTCATATCATTATAATTGTATTTTTTTGTTGCAATTATTTTCGAAGTTAAATCAGTATCAGGTCTGTCATAATATAAGTGTTCTATTGAGTAATTTAATTATATTGTAAAACTTCACATTAACAGTTTATTTTATGAAATTGAATGTTACACAGTAATCATTGCATACACATATATGGGTGTTCTGTAAAATTGTGGAATTAGTGTAAAGGCATTATAAGGTAAGTCTGCTTATTAAAATCTGAAATTCCATACTTAAAAAAAATGGATGGATAGCACTGCAGATGCATATTCTAATAGTCAAATAGCAGTAAACAGATGTTGGCTGTCATTATTGATGAAAACACTGATTCATAAGATAAGTGACACTGGTTAGGAAACAGGTTATTGTAGTAGTGACACTCTAGACGTGGGTTTGGGGGGCACTAATGTGACAGGTTTCGCAATCTTTTCTTCCATCACCAAATAATGCTGGAATATTACCATGAAATTGACAGTGACCACCTCTTTACATATTCTCACCTGTTTCACCATTTGTGATCATCTTTACATCCAATTCAACACACTGAAGTTGAAACAGCATCTGAAATGACATAAGAATTGATCATTAATGAATTTAAGCCTGTAGAGAAAGCAGAGTGGTTGGGTTGTAGATCATAAAATTCACATGTACATGATGTAAGTAACAAACCATTACATTTGAAAACTACACTTTACTTCTGTATATAAGGTAAAAAGGGTAAATGTATAAAGTTGTTCCAGTGCTTAACTAACTAAGCACTACACCATGAAGGCGTATACAGGAGTGGATGTGTAGATCCACATTTTCTTGACTCTGGCACTAGTTGGAGTTGAGTGGTGAGCTTCACGCCCCTGCCGCTTTACCCCCCGGGAAAGAGCCCCCAGTACCCATTGTATAGGAGGTTGGGTGAACCCCAGAGCTGGTCTGGATGACATGGAGAAGTGAAAATTCTTGACCCTACTGGACTCAGACTCCGACCTCTTGGTTGTCCAGCCCAAAGCCAGTTGCTGTACCAACTGCGCAAACCCAGCTCCTTATGTATATTGCTGTAAAATATAAATTTGGTTGTTATAATATCAAAAGTGAATCAAATTCAGTTGTGTCAGTTAGCATTACTTCATAAATCAACTGTAACACAACCAGAATATGCCCAGCCCATCTTGTATGATTCTGTGGGGGGCAGAGGTAAGCAGATATTCACTCCACTGGTCTAGCAATTTCCCACCTTTTATGGAACCTGAAAATTTTTCACCATGCTCACATCAGTTAAGAGGCAGTTGAATTAGTTCACACCCTCAAACTCTTTCTATGAGATTGACTTGAATGTTGTCTTCCCCTTGATGCTAAGGTCACCAGAGTGGTCTCTTCCCATCTTGTTTTGTGGCACATTTTTAATGTTCCCCAGTATTCTTCAAGGCCCCCATCTCATTGTCTTGAGTTGACCATCCTGATATTTGGTAAAGGTTACAAATATGAACTTTCCAGTATTTTCCAGTCCTTCAGAACCAGGATAGCTCAGGCAGGATAGCAATGATGCTGGGGTTCAATCCGCAGCAGAGGCAAGACATTTTGTTCCTCTCCACGGTGTTCAGACCATCTCTGAGGCCAACCTAGCCACCTGTCCGTTCACTGCCAGGGGCTCTTTCCATTGGGATAAAGTGACTTAGGGCTTGAAACTTACCACTCACCTCTATCTAGCTATACCTCCACTCCCCCATACATTTCATGACATGGTAATTAATTAAAACCCAGAGATAATTTTACCTTTTTCCTGGTCTTTCTGTTACTTTTTCCCCTCCTGAGTTATTAACATTCTCCACAGCAGCCTCCCCTCGTAGATTATGCTCAGCTGAAAATGAGACATATTGTATCATTTCTCTACTACTATTACTTTTACAATGTTTAGCAGAGTTTTCTGTTTTCCTTTATTATATGTAAGAACAATTTATGGTACAATCAGTACATTTAGAGAATTGATTTAGTTTGTCTGCATTAAGGAAGATATGTAAGCTTCAGTTCTCTGCAGGGTTGAGAACATGAATCTTGGAGCAGTCACAGGACTGGAAAGTAACCAAATATAACGGGTACTTTGCATTTGAGTATTGTAGAATGGATGTTTTAACTCAGTAGTCTTATGTCCCGATCCAACTGATGAGTTTCATCAGTGCTTGACATCATGCAAGAGTCAGAGGATGTTGAATTTTTAAACATAATAACTATAAAGTAACTGTTATAAAAATGTCTCATTTTGAGCTGTTTGTTTCTTATAATTTACATGTATATTGATCTCTTAGTAATTATAATCGCTACAGGGACTATCTCATAACTTAATTAATTCTTGAATGGTGAAATAAAATGACAGTGAGATGATGTGTCCATCCTGAAGTGTTTAGCCATGGAACAAGGTATAATATCCTTTAGAACATGTGATTATGTATTTAAAGTTAATTGAAATACCCAGATCCTATTGGCCACTCAGAAGTTGCTCTTGTGGAACCCAGTTCAGTTTTATTTTTCTGTTAGCATGTAGGGAAATTAAAAATATAAAAGTTTGATGAGGAAGTTTGAAGGGAAGAAGCCATTATGGCTGCAGAAGTGGAAGAAAATATTGGAATGGATCTGAGAGAAGTATAGCGTGAAGTTGTGAATTGGATTAATGTGGCTTGGGAAGGTAGAAGTTCAATCTTTGGGCTCCAAAAAAGTAGGACAGTTCTGAATTACTGATTATCTGTCCACTTTCTGAGAGCCTCTGAGCCTTGTTGTAACATCATGCTTAAAAAGGAAGGATTGCTTTTTGGAAATTATTGTCATTAGTATTCTGAACATATAAGCAGAAAAAGACCTCTTCACTGGAAGTTGTGGTACCAGATTCACATAAAACTAGAGTAAAATCGTGAGTAAGATGGTTGACTGGTAGTACACATACAGAATAGAACTTGTAACGAGCCATGTGGCAATAAATGGTACACTTATAGAAACAAAAACAGTTATAAATTAACACACACACACATGCATGCAAATTCTGTAGCCATATTATCAATTTTATGAGGATATGGACATACTTTGCTCTATATAGTATCACCTAACAGAAAATAAGGTGTTATCATACTTTAAATTAACAAACCGATATCCAGTTTATAGGTACAGATTTGTCACTAAAGCAGAAGGAAGAAAAACTAATTTGCTTAATACTTCCAAAAAGTAGCTTCCCATACTTGACATGTACTTTTTTAACTAACTGGTTTCACAGTTTTCTTTCAGACTAATTGATAGTTCTTGAAAGCAATTTTGTAAACACTGTTTGCTTGTTAATCCTATCACAGACTTGTTAGAATTCATTTAGCTATTTAACAGGCATTAAAAGTCGCCATAGCAGTGCTAAGAACTTAACTACCCATTTCTTTGCCCTGCAGGGATTCCCCAGTCATCCCAACAGTTATTGCAAGCTGTCATGGCACAGCCAAGAACTGTGCACTGAAGACTTCTCTATTCAATATGTGTTTTTAATATCTCACACAAAAATGCAGGAAGTTCACCTGCTCTCTTCTGCTAATACTTTGTTTTCTTAATATATATAAAGTTTAAGTTTTGGAAACTGTGTCACTGTTTTACATAATGCCACCCATGACACCATAGAAGCGTGGCAGCTGGAATATTTTCCTTTTTGCAAAGATTTACAGTCTTACTAAAGGTAGTGGTCACTAATATTTTTGTATAATTGCACTGCACTAGTTTGAAATGAAAAGAACATAATGTGAAACATGTACAAGTGAAATGTTTCTCCCATTTTATTATTATTATGGAGCAAGAAGAATAAGAGATTTTAGGTTCTCACAGGTGTGACTGTGAAGAATATTACCTCCAAGGATTTGACATCATGTAGCCTGGTAGATGTTTTCCAGCATTTTGGAGGAATGTACTTCGTCTTCAGGGTCATAAAGTAAGCCAGGAATACAAGCAGTGGTCACAAAGTTTCGGCATGAAACATCTGACATCTGTAAGATAGGAAGGTTGTTAGGTTCGGCTCATTACCTAGTAGTGAGACCACTGACTCATCTGCTGAGCAGGCAGCCTTGCGTGGAAACATCAGAAATATTAGAGTGAGCTGTAGGCAGTGATGTGTGTGGTCATCTTCACTATGCTGTCGTCGTTTCACGGAAAGATGAATGAACCCATATGTGAGGCAACAAATTATGTGATCTGATATAAGGTGTGGCATTGCACCTTCAGATCTTTCAGGATTGAGGAAATCGTTCTCAACATGTCATCAGACTGGTCTCTTTCACCTCGTTGTTGCTTGTGACTTGGTTTATAGGAATCCATCACATGCTGAAGTATTTTATATGGCAAAACTAGTTTGAGGTTGTGTACTCAAGTAACTGAGTCAAAGAAGAAGATCCCCCACAAAGCCATTACTTTTGTTATGTAATGAATTTTATTATTGTATGAAACTATTTCTCTTTTAGGATGAAATGATTCAGTCAGATGAAAATTCAACTTTGCCACTCATTACTGCAGCAGCAAGCCAGCGAGAAGAAAAGCCATGTACATGTGAAGCCTGCAAGGATAAGCGGTATGTTTATTGTGATCATTTGCAGAATAGGAATTCTAGTATTAGTAACATGCAGAGGTACCAGCCTGACTAAAGTGGTTGATGTTTATTGGATAACAACTGAATGGTGAACCTGTACTGAAATATACACAGTTTTTTTTTTTAACTTTATTTACTGGTTCATGGCCCTGCGCTTCACAGCAACTGGTGTATTGCCTTCTCCGAGGCGCATATGAATTTTGCCGATGAATCAGCATGCCTGATGGCCAATGACGTGTGAATGAAGGGCAGTAATTAACTTACGGACCGCTTGACAGCATTGTGTTTCACTGGTACATGTACATGCGTGGGAGTTCATTTATTCTCAGATACAGTTAGTGAGCAGTGCAGTGTGTCATGGTGCTAATACTTTAGAACAATGTGTATTTCTGCATGACACCTGTATGAAATGTGGATCTGATAGAAAGTGTCAGCAAAAATTTTGACGTAAATTTTGTGATGGAGTTCCCAGTAGACAAACAGTTCACAATTTGGTGAATAAACTTAGAACAGCCAGACTCTTAATAGACAAGAAACAACTGCAGAGTGCTTACTGAGGGAAAGTTAGTTGATATAGGAGCCAGACTTGAACATACACCTAGAAAATCACTGGAACGTCTAGCTCAAGAGACTGGTGTGTCGAAGTCTAATGCAAGAACGACAACACAATTGCTGATGCCTAGACTCTATAAGACATCAGTAATCTGCGCACTCCTAGCAGCTGCTCGATCCAGCTAGCAGGGTACATTTTTGTAGTTGGTTTTTACAGTCTTTCGTCAAAGGTGAGATCGATCTGCAATTGACATTCTTTCTGATGAAATGTTTCACTTGCAGGGATATATAAATACACAAGATAATCATGACTGGAGTTCACAGAATCCACATCTAACTCACGCGGTCCCACTCCTCCAGTGAAAGCTGGTGTCTGGTGTGCTGTAAGTGCAAGGAGGATTGTTGGACCTGTGTTTTTTAACGAAACAGTTAATTGCGAAAGGTATCTACGTGTAGAGGGACAGCATTTTCAACTCCTCCTGTGATTTTTGAATTGTAACTACTTCATTCTGAACGTTATCGATCATCAGGCATGCTAATTCATTGGCAAAATTAATATGAGCCTCACAACAGATGGCACCTCAGTCACTGTGAAGCACAGAGCCGTGAACCCAGTGAACAAAATAAAAATCCTTCCTCTATGTAAAAAATAATAATGAAGGAGGTCCTTGTTGCTATTATTAGTTTTTAGCATGTCTGTGACTTTGTTCCAACATAAGAGCATCTTTGTGGTATGAAAAATGTAACACTAGGGACGTATGGATGCTGGTGAGCAATTCCTAATGAATTACATTAAAATGTCAAACAACTGTCAGAAGTTCTGCAGAATGATCTGATGGTAGTGTAAGCTGGAATTCTCGTCGTACCTGTGCTACCTTTCACTCTCATGATATAATTAGTGGAAAGTCCAGATAATTAGATATGTTAATTTTTATGGAAATATTACATCAGACATTGTCCATTGTCTATGATGTACTTAACCCTTCCGCGACGGATAGTATTTAAATCTTTTCCTACCGCCAAACTGATGGGGTATTTAATTATTAAACAGAAAATTTCTCTTATCCATGAAAAACTTAGTAACTCTCGCAAAAATAGGTATATTGAGATGAAATTTTCACAGAAATATTTATAATGAAACGAAGAACAAAACTATATATATATTTTTTAATA